TCTCCTAGACCCCTGAAACACTCAGACAAGATTTTTTCCGGCATGTTCAGGGAAGTTATGCTCTAAACTCCAACTTCTAGACTCCTGAAATATTCAGACAAGGTAGGGTGACCTCTGTCCTCTTTCTGTCTCTGTTTGTCTGTCTCGTGCTCTTGCTCTCTCTCTTTACATTTTTTATTTAATTTTTTAAAAATTTGTGAACCACTTCTCCTAACCTCGGGCCTTTTCTTACTCTTGCTAATTTCAGAAGCCAATTTAAATCTGAGGTGTGTCCTGGCATGTTTGTGTGGTTTTCATTTTTTACCTTTAAGAAAATTATTTTTGTTTTCTGTTTTGGTCATTTTTGTCTAGTTATTTTTCTTTTCCTTTTGCTTTTATTTATTTATTTTTTAATCGTACCTTCCCACTCTGCTCTTCACTCTGCACACACTGAGTATCTAGACAGGCCTAGGTGCACAGTAGCCAAGCATCTGAGTACTTTTAGAGTATTGGAATCCTCAATGTTTATTGAACCTCCTGCTTTAAGGAAGAAACTTCTTTTTATAAATCTGAACTCATAATCTCTTTCTGTGGATACCACATTGCAAAGCACAGTAGAGGAGAGATTTTGTCACAGAATGACCAGACACCACTGCAGAGGCACAAGAAATATGAGAAACCAAGAAAATATCTCTTCCCTAAGCGAAAAGAACAATCCTCCATCCACATATAATACAGTGAAACTCATGGGAATGTCTGATAAAGAACTCAGAATATTCTTAGTGACAAAATTAAACAAGATGGAAGAGCTGAGAGACAATGAACTCCAGAAGATGCAGGAGAAAACAGACAACAAGTTCCAGGAGGTGAGGAAGTTTTTACACAATCTGAAAGAGGAAATATACACCACAAAAAAAGAATCAAATGGAACTGTTAGAGATGAAGGCTGTAATACAGGAAATCAAACCCTCCCTAGAAAGTATTAAAAGCAGATTAGTCCATGCAGAAGACTGAATTTCAGATGTTGAAGGCAAAACCTCTGACCTAGAAAAAACAACCAAAAAAACTGATAAAATAACTGGTAAAAAATGAGAATACTATATGAAAAATACCATTAAGTGCCCAAACATCTGGATAATTGGTACCCCAGAACATAAAGAAACTAATAAGGGCATTGATAATCTATTCCATGAAATCCTGGAAGAAAACTTTCCAAATCTAGAGAGGCATTCAAATATCCAGACTCAAGAAATACAAAGGAACCCCTAATAGAATCAATCCAAGATCTCTGAGGCACATCATAGCCAGACTGGCCAAATCCACAGAAAAAGCCAAGACACTAAAATTGGCAAGAGAAAAAGTCAGGTTACTTACAAAGGTTATCCCATCAGGCTAACATCAGGCCTCTCATCAGATACAATGTGAACAAGGAAAGAATGGGAAATTATAGTCAAAATGTTAAGTGAAAGAATAGCATTCAACCAAGAATACTATATCTAGCAAGATTATCCTTCATATGGGAAGAAAAGATAAAACATTCTCAGATAAACAAGACCTGAAAGAATTCGCTAATTTTCAGATCCACTCTTCAAGAAGTTCTGAAAGGAGTGCTCTACCAGGAAAAGTAAAGACACACATACAGAAATAAGAGAACAAAAAGCAACCATGAAAATGACCAACTTAATGCTAGGGACAAGAGAAATATCAATAATAAAGTTGAATGCTAACTTCCAGGATTTAAACAGAAAGATTAGACCACAGTAACACTGCAAATTCAACAAAAGAGAGATTGAATATAAGACTGAACTGGTGAAATAGAATTTCATGACTTTTGAGTAAAACATTACTGATTTTTTTTTTACAATGCTATGTTTTCCCAATTTGAGGATTTTGCTTTCTTTTGAGCTATTGATAGGTTTAGCAATTTTTAAAAATGTTTTTTCTTGTTTTTGTTTTTGTTTTTTGTTTTCTTAATAGAAACATAAACTCCTCCCTTTCTGACTCCTCTGAAATTAGAAAATATTTGGGAGTATTATTCTGTGGCAAAATAGTTATTTGCATATGTTCAATAATACCTCTTGCCTTGGGACCAGCACTTAGCATAATGGCTATGTCGCCGAACTCCCATGTTGTCAACTGCGGTTCAAGTCCCAGATCTGGTGACTTAAACTCACGCTAGACGTGTGTGCGTGAATGCCCAGGATCCCGAGAAGAGAATGGAGGAGAAGGGATTGCAGTGTGGCCATCCCCCCGGGGCGTGATTTCTCGCTTTCTATCTCTCTGTCTCTCTCTGTCTATCTGGCAAGCACACGCGCCCTATGCCAAAAACCTCTTAAAGAAAAAAATAATTAAAAATAAAGGGAACAGCAGTTAGCATAATGGCTATGTCGCTGGACTCCCATGTAGTTGACCGTGGTTCGCGTCCTGGACCCAGTGGCTTAAAACTCACGCCGGGCATGTGTGCGTGCATGCCCAAGATCCCGAGAGAAGAATAGAGGAGAAGGAATTGCGGCAAGGCCATCCCCCCGGGGGGTGATTTCTCGCTTTCTGTCTCTATGTCTCTCTCTGTCTGTCTCGCAAGTGCACACATCCTATAGCAAAAACCTCTCCAAAAAACAAAAATTAATTAAAAATAAATAAACAAATAAATAAGTAATACCTCTTGCCTTGAATCAGAAATTGGAAATACTTGTTATTGGACAGGGCTTTGACTGGAATGTCGTATCTGAAAATTAAACCAGAAAACTACAGTACTAAGGTAAATCTCAAGTAAGCCAACAGAACCTCTTGGAAAGATGACCTGGCACCATAAACAGTTCTGCCTGGCAGAGAGGATTAGAGAAGCTATATGAAATAATTTGTACTATAAAATAACCTGCATTGTAATCAGTAGAGATTGAAAAAAAGAAACTACAACCAGAGGATTATCTTTTTTTTTTTTTTGAGAGGTTTTTGCTATAGGGTGTACACACTCTCTAGAAAGCCAGAGAGAGACAGAGAGACAGAATGTGAGACAGTACCCCCCAGAGGGAATGGGCACTCTGCAATCCCTTCTCCTCCATTCTCCTCTCAGGATCTTGGGCATGCATGCATATGCTCTGGCGAGAGTTTAAGCCACCAGGTCTAGGACTCGAACTGCAGTCAACAACATGGGAGTCCAGCAAGATAGCCATTATGCCAACTGCTGGTCCCAACCAGAGGATTATCTTGAGGAAGACTTTGAAGGAAGAAAAAGACACTGATCTTTGCTAGCAGATGGTATATCACAGAATAGTTGGTAGGCAGGGCTGAATTGAGAAGGTTTATGTGTGACTTGTGTGCTGGGGGTTTGCTTTTCAACAGTTTGAGTCGTTGACCTATAAATATTCTCTCAAAAATATTTAAAGCCAATACAAATAAAAATTAAAAAAACCATGGAGTTTGAAATGTTTTGATATGTAAACTAAATGTTTGTGGGAAAATGTAAAAATGAATAAATAATTTTTAAAAAGCCAGTATTTACCACAGAGTGAGGATATCTGGTACATATCAAGTGGAATATACAGTATTTGTCTTTAATAGCCTAGCCTATTTCACTGAGAATCATGTGTTCTAAGTTTGTCTGCTTTTTGTCAAATGACAGGATCTCATTGTTCTTTATGGCTAAGCAGAATTTCATTGTGTACATGTGCCACATTTTCTTTGTTTTTTGTTTTTTAAAGTGTTTTTTGTTTTTGTTTTTTAGGTTTTTGCCGTAAGACTCATGCACTTGCAGGAGAAAGACAGTGAGAGGGCAAGTGAGAAATCACCGCCCCCCAGGAGGGATGGGCATGCCACAAACCCTTCTCCATTCTCCACTTGGGATTTGGGGCACACACAAACACAAACACACACACACACACACACACACACACACAGATGCCCAGCATAATTTTCTACCAGCCAGGTCCAGGACTCAAACTAGGTAGTCAGCCTTAACTTCCACTCACCTGCTGGCCCTTGGCCTATTTTCTTAATCCATTCATCTGTTGTTGGGCACTTAGATAATTCCACATCTTAGCTATTGTGCCTAATGCTGCAATAAGCATGAGCTGTGGTTTTTAATTTGTGATAGAAGGGAAGATTGAAGACTGAAAGGAGATCAGAAGAGGCAGCACAGGATTGGGGTTGGGTAACTGGGATAGTAAGGTGAGTCTGGGAGAGACAGCAAGAATTCACATGGCTAGGGGCAAGGACGGTGAGTTATTGACAGTGGAGGAAGTTCTCCCTAAGGACATCTGTCATTCCTGTGAAATAGAGTTCCACAGTTGAGATCCTAGGCCTCCATTTGATCTAGCTCCTTGGTTAAAGTAGAGATGAGCAAAAGAAGAGTTTCTTTAAGAATCATAGCTACTGTGTACAGCACACTAAATAAATAGGAGGATAGATGGGAGAGATAGATGTAAATGAATCAATTGCACATAGTTTAGTGGGGTTTTTTGTATGTTTGTTTGGTCTTTATTTTAAGGACTTGGGAGAGCCAGATGAAGTGAACTCATTCTGCTAGGGCACATTCGTGTTCCTTGAACAGACCAGACACTCCATGAAGTCAGGACGTGAGTCTGTCCTGTCCACTGTTGCTTTCACAGCACACAGTTCAATGTCCAGCCCATAGCAAGCACTCAGTAATCGTTTGCTATACAAATGGATAAAAGTCCAAACACTTAAAAGTTCTGATGAACTATTTTAAGTGAAGGTTAAATCAGGGTTGGCTTCATGGACATAGTTCCTGTGTGATTTCACAGGGCCCCACACTCAGCACGGCCCCCTGTTAAGTTTCATCCTTTATTATCATGGCTCTGCAATTTTCAGTCACATGAACAAGGACCCCCATATTTTCATCTCGCACTGGACCCCCATGTTATATTGCCCCATACTGGTTAGAAGCAGCAACAACACACATTTCTATAAAATGTCACTAAATCAATATTTGAGACATATATGAATACCAAATTAGCCACATAAATTTCTCTTTAAGATTAAAAAATATACTTTGGGCTTACCTGAAATACTGGATCTTGGCTTTTCTTTCTTAAAATAGGGCTCATACTCTCTGTAGACAATTTTCTTAAAGGAAGTTGCAAAAGGATTCAAACTGCAAATAAAATGCAAAGGCCAACTTGTCATATATGGCAACTGTGTCTCACATGACAGAAAGACCTCTCATAGCCTCAGACTTCCGGCAGAGTAACAGCATTACTTATTGTATTTAGAAATCTACATATTATAAGTACAAACTGTAAGTGACACGAATAATTATTGGTCTCTTCAAAATACTCTGTTATGATCATCATTCTTTTATAAGTTTAGGCTTCCCTAAAGCTATTTTGCAAAATTAATTTTCTAACAAAAGACCCCAGATCATACTATAAACCCAAACTTTATATGTAGGTTTAAAATGATTAAAAATATGACCAAATCTTTTATGAATAACTATGTGAGCTATTTTTCAACTGATGGATGAAATACAGTTTTTTAGTGCAATTTCTAATTTTCAAATACAGTTTTAAGTTACTGGGAAATATTGTAAATGAAGACTAATTTGGGGACCTTATCTTAGTTGAGAGGTTGAGATGGGTAATGGAGCTCAAGCCCTCAATTTCACATCGGGGGAACAAAAAGGAAAATAAAAACGATCTCAGAAAGAGTAAGCAACTCATCCAAGTAGGTACAGCTGACAAGCGGCCGGGCCTCAATTCACCAAAGTTAAACCACTGCATCCAGGCTGAAGGATTCAGAGGGAGGCAGCAGGGGAGTTCTGCAAGTCTCCTGTACTTTTTTTCTCTGCCTCTAAAGAGGGGCATGTCATCTCCAGCCTTGACTGAGATTCAAAGATGAGAGTAAAAGGGAAGAGAATCAGGAGAAAATATCTTATGAAGGTCTAAGCCAGCTGACCAGGTGGGCTCTGAGATGCTTCCTAATTCAGACAGTGGCCCCGCCCCCTCCAGGGCACAGCAGGGAGGGACCAGCTGCCTCTGCTGCACTGGCAGAGAGCAGAGTGGCTGATTCAGGGTGTCAGAGTTTGGGTCCTTTATCTACCTCTTCCTAACTGGATTACCTAGAAGCATTTAACTTAATCCCGTGAGCCTGGGCTTCTACAGCTGTGAGATGGACTAACAGTAGACTCTCCCTCAGAACTGTACTGACCACGTTGGTGTGCACAAAGGGCTCAGAGCGGGCACATCATATATACTTAGGATGTGGCCATCCTCCCTGGAGGTGGTGGGGGGGGGTGATTTCTTGCTTTCTGTCTCTCTGTCTCTGTTTCTCCAGCGAGCACACACACCCTATAGCACAAATCTCTTTAAAAAAGAAAAAAGGCATTTTCCTGCCTAGTGTCTGTGAAATAAGGGGACTGTTGTCTGTTCTGTGCTCAGAGACACATTGGCAAAGGATGGGACTGTCCATGCCGATATCCCTCCAGTGAGTCTCACCCCCCTCTAGGCAGGGGACGAGTTAGAACAAGTTCGTGTTCATGTAGCCCGATATGTAGAACAGCTGTTTCACGTGACGGTACTGAGAGAAACGACGTGATTCAAGGTTCAACAATTTTGACAGTTGGTCTGTTATTTTCAGTGTTAAATATGGGGAGAAAATGAACTCCCAGCATAGACACGCCGTACACAGCAGGCCAGCAGCCTTGCCCACGCCCTGCTGGGAGCAGGCACGGCTGGTGTGGGGAGACCGCTATTTCCTGTGGGTGTGGGTGAAGGCAGTTTGTTAAGGGTGTGGGTATGACCTAGATGGTCACCTTGGAATGATCCTTAAAATGGTATTTTTAAAGAAAAGGGATTCCATAGTACGTAAGACCAAGGTAGTACGTAATGTCCTGAGCTAATGGAGTTACAAGGGAATTTTTTAAAGGGTTAATGTCACACACTAAGGACTTACAAAATAACACATTATTTCTTGGCAGACTGCTTTGGTTTTGTAATTGTAAAAGAGGAACACATCTTTCACAATCACTGAAACTGTGATGTTACACTTAACTGAGTCACAGGAGGCTTACCATTTAAAATAAAAGTATAACTAGCTGCAAGCGTGGAGTAGACCTTATGCTTTGGGCAATTTCTGCGAAGTCTAAACTTTTCAGTTAAGAAAAAAAATCTTTAACTCAGAGATAGAGCTTTACACGATTTAAGACTTTTTACAGAGTTTTCTAGTTTGATATGATTTAAACCTTGTCTTAATTCCATGTCTCTCAGCGGTGACTTTACCAAAATAGCCAGAGCCAACCACAGCCAGGAAGCGATCGAGAGGGAGGAAAAAACGAAGAGTCACACTCAGCAGCGTGAGGGAGTCAGATACGAGGCAGGAGAAAGGCGAAAGGACCGAGCGCTGCGTTTCCAGGGACTGGTGATGCTGGAAGTCCTTTCTAAGGAAGCAGAACGAGGCCGTAGCTGTTGAGTTATCTGCTTCTAACAGGGCACAGGTACACCTCCCCGTGTTAGAACACGCAGCCCCGGGGCCATGGAATAACATACTTCCCTGGGAGCTCCAGAAGTACCAGACCACCTGCAGGGGGCTGCTGAGGGGCTTGTCAGTGCCTGGAGCTTTTGGCCAGTGTGAAAGCCAACAGCAAACGTGAAAATGAACTTCAAAAGCAGGCAGCCTCTAACCAATTGAAGGGAGTATTTTCTAAATCCTTAGGACAGTAAACTACATTATTGGAGGTAAAAATTAGTGTGAACCAAACTGGCAATTAATCTCCTCCTAATTCTGTTTACTTACCTGACGTTGACAAAAGAAAAAGAAAGAAAGAGAGAAAGAGAGAGAGAGAAAGAAAGAAAGAGAGAGAGAGAAGGAAAGAGAGAGAGAGAAAGAAGGAAAGAGAAAGAGAGAGAAGGAAAGAGA